TATATTTTATTAAGTTATATTTATTATCTTATTTTACCTTACCTTACCTTGCCTTGCATTATAGGTTTGGAGCCTGGTAGGGTTCATTTTTCCTCAACCTTATTACACTTAAGGCTGAACAAAGCCTTAGATGACCGTCCAGTGGACTGCTCCATCGCACTTTCATTATGGCTGGTTTTGTGTTTGGTTTTTTTTTAACTGCGTGTCAATTTCGACTCAACTCACTGATACTCAACAAAAACCTTTTCTTATATTATGTATGTCAACAGTCTGGAAAAAGGGGTGCATTGCTGGGATGGGTGGTAAAGAGAGGAGGGGAAGAAAATGGGCAATGATTTAAAAAACAAAACAAAACAAAAACAAACAAAACCCAAACACAACCAACCATGTGCCTGGAAAAAAATTTTAAAAATTAAACAAAATGAAAAAATAAAAATAATAAGGGCTTTTTTGCTGTTGTGTTTCTTGAGTTCTCTTGCATAGATCCACCATTTCCTTTTAGTAAAATGATCATATATGCTGGGTCATCTATGTTTTCCTTTACACATTGCCCTACAGCTATTGTTGTCGCATAGTGATTTCATATTTCTCCCAATTACTCTGTACTCGTAGTGGTTTTTCAGGGTTGAATTTTCATATAGATCTCCTGGTTGTCCAGAAAACATTCCTTTGGATTGTCTTGACCCTCCTACCTTTAAGATGTTATTCGTTCAGATTCATCTTTTGTACCACCCAGGGATACTTTGAGTTTGCCAAAAGGCTCAACAAAGATAAATCAAAAGTTCTGTGGGTGCCAAGGATTCTTTGGTAAAGTGCTGTTGGAGACAAGCAAGGCGTCACCAGCAACTCTGATTTTTGAAGAAGGAAGAAGTCAGCTAGCTAAAAAGTGAATAAACTATGAGTGAGAATATTCCACTTTAAAACTCTAGTGGCATGGTGCTTCAACACCTGCTTAATCGAAAATCAGAGGCTCAAACTCAGCAATGATTTAGTGAGAAAAACATGTGACAGATTACATGGTTAGTTGTCACCATGGAACTTTCTTTCATGTTAGAGGGCTTCGGTTCCTCTCTTCTACTTTGGGCATGTTGCTCAGAAGCTATTCCTTGGAAAGGAACAACATGCTTGGAGGGTTGTGTATCAGAGAAAGAGAGGAAGGCATTTAATGAAACGTCAGAGTGAATGCAGCCGTGGACTCCAGTGTGTGACAAAGGATGCAGAAAGCACAGCACAGAAAAGGGCTAAGGTCTGATCGTATAGGAGCTACTAGTTGTATTCCACCCAATGGCACCTAACAGTTGTAAACAAAGATGGGAATCCATTTAGGGATCTTATACGAACATTTATAAATATTTACAAGAGACGGTTTGTGATCACCGACTATCTAGCACAGCCTTCAAATTTGTTTATTTATGTGCAATCCTGAAATCTATCCTGAAATACAATGTGGTGACTGATAGGATAATAGCCACACTCACACAAGAAAGACCCGTTAAAATGACTAGTATTTGAATATATGCTCCTACATCTAGGATCAAAGAGGAAGAAATTAAGAATGTTTTTTATATTTCCATTCATTCAATGCTGCACTTTTCTCCCTGCCCACCTCTCCCCCCCTCCCAGTACACTTTTCTCTTTGAAAAGTAAAATTCTTTCATTGTTTTACAATCCCTCCCCCCA